CTAAAACTTGGGAGAATCACACCAATGATTCTTAACCCTCATCTTTAAGTGTGTACGCACACACGTGCTCTCCTGAGTGGTTACCTGGGCACCAACCGAGCCCAATTAAACCAATCTCTAAGGTTATAACCTAGGCATCGGTATGTATTTTAAAGACTTCCCAATTCATTCTCCTCCAGAGCTGAGAGTCACTGGCCCTAACCATTTCCCATACCGCTAGTCTGGGATGAGCATTTGATAAAATTCTGGCCAAAAAAAGGAATGAGAAGTCTTCTGGGAGGTGGGGGTTTGGGGAAATTTTTCTTCTTTCTTTGGAGGAGACATGAGAATGGAATGGATCCCCTTTCCTATTTCTGGCCTTTGGGTTTTGCGATATAAAGTTGTAAAGCCTGGAGTTATTGCAGCCATTCTGGGACCACGAGGCAGCCAGCCTAACAGCCAGCAGGCTGAGAATGGCAAAGAAGAAAGGGAATCATCTGGGAACGTGGCGGCATCTTTGAGCAACTTAGTTCAAAAACCCTGGAATCCACTTACCCCGAGGATACTTGTTGTAAGAGGCAATTGATATTCTTAATTGTCTGAGACACTAAGTTAAATGTTCTGTTACTTGCAGCCAAAAAGATCTCAACAGATATGCCCACTCATGAGCTTTACCTTTCTCCTGCCTGAGCCATTTCTAACTGGGGCGGGACAGTGACAGCTGGGGCCCACTGGACAAGAAGGCCTAGTGAGACTCCGTCTTGTTGTCCTGAAGACGAATAACTAACGTGAGATCCAGGCATGTCATTAAATAACTAGTTACCCTGAGAGCCAGTCCAGTAATAACCCTGACATTTATTACGCACTTACTTCATGCCAGAAACCGTGCAAAGTGCTAGAAGTAATGGCACTTCATTCCATCGTTTAAATTGCCCAGTGAGATAAGTATTATCTACGTTTTACACATCGGGGAAATTGAGACCCAGAGAAGCTAAGGAATTTGAGCAAGTTTGCATCGCTGGAGAGTGGCAGAGACAGAATGCACACCCCAATCTGTCAGACTCTCAAGACTTTTCTTCTTTCCAGGAAACCACGTTGTTTCATTTCTCGATGACTTATGATGCTCTGTGTGTTCACACATTCACTGAAGTGCTTAACGATGCGAATAAAAGGGCATTAATCATTGTAATCCCTAATAGAGATAACAGAAATATTAGCAAAGGCTGCAGGGAAAACCGTTCGAGGGAGACGTAATTTTTTACAAGGCCAAGGAATGATTTACTTTATCACAGCAAAGAATTTTATTTGACAAATGCATACTTTATCATCTCTGGTCGGCTGAAAATGTAAGTTTACATTTTTCCTAGCCATAAAATTAAAATAATTTTGGCTCCAAAACCTTAAAAGAAATCCCATTCTAGGCTCAAGCGTTTCCCTGGAAATGTAAAGGCTAAATACGGAGCGTGACTAACCACCATTCCCGTGGGGCAGGACAGACTCTGGAGTCACGAAGAGCAGGGTTCAAATCCCGGTTCTGCCTCTTGCGGACCGTGTGATTTGGGACAGAGACCCGTCACTCCTCTGAGTCTCTGTTTTCTGATCTGTAAGATGAGACTCCAAGCTGCCACTACAGGCCTGGGATGAGGATTCAACCCGATGGCCTCTGTACATACTGCCTGGCAAAGCAGATGTGCTAGGAAGGTTGACTATTCTGAAAAATAGGCACAAAGTTCCTGGCATGGGACCTGGTGCGGTGTAGCTAGCTCCTCAGTAAACCTCTCAGTAAGCCTTCCCTCTCTCTTCCCTCTCCTGTCTCCTGTCTTCCACTGTCTTCAGGGCTGGGTCCCCCAAGGACAAGCCAGACTAGGTCCCCTCTGCACACGGTTGGGGAGGGAGTTGGGAGATGGAGCACACATCTTGGTTCACTCAGCTGTCTGTCAGCTTCTACGGCATCTTCCCTCCACCCTGACCCAAACACAAGGCAGCTAGCCAGTCTGTTCATGGGCCACCTGCCAGTTTGGAAGACAAATCTGAGAAAGTGTCAGAGGATTGGGATAAGGGACAGAACGGGGGGGGGGGGGGGGGGGGGGGGAGAGGAAATGGCTAAGCTGGCTCAAGAGTCAAGGGTCTTTGGGAAGCCAGGAGGAGACAACCCTTCACTCCCAAATTAGAAACAAATGAGGAGGTTTCAAGGGAATCTAGACTGTTGGTGGAAGAAGCAACAGAGGGGGGTCAGCAGGAGATTGCCTACCCATAACTGGGGAGACTTTCCTAGGCTTGGTGAGCCAAAAGTGGACTCCAGTCACACCAAGAAAAGCAAACAGAAAAGATCAATAGTCCACATGCTTGTCTGGAACTGTTAGAAGTTTTCAAAGTTTTTCCTCCCATGATTAGAGTCTCATGTCAGCCCCAGGAAGTTCCTAGGACAGTCACCATGGTGATCATTCCATTTTACAGATTTGTAAAGTGAGACTTCAAAACTGGCAGTATGTTTTTGGTCATGTAAGGGAGTGGTAGATACACTGAGAGGTGAGTTTGTCCAGTGGTTTCCAAACAGCTTCCAGGGCCCTGCATCTAGGGTCGAGCCCCAGAATCGGTATCTTGTCAAGCTTCTCGTGTTATTCTGATGATCAGCCAAGTTTGGGAACCACTGATACCACGTCACAAACCTGCTGTGGATAAAGACATGGAGCCGGACGGAGGTGGAGGAGTGTGCCCAAGGTCATACAGCTGGCTGGTGGCTCAGACAAGGTTCGCCCCTCAGTCCACAGTCAAGGCTCCTAGAGAGCTCATGGTCAGAAGGGGAGAGTCACAGCCTCGGGGCTGGATGGTGGTCTCCATGAGCTTGAGCTCCCCACCTGGGTGTCTGGTGAGGCTGCCATCAGATGAAAATGTAGAGGATTCACCTCCATGTACAAGCCAGGGGCACAAGGGGGCCCAGTAACTTCTGCCCGATAGGAGCAGGGTTGCGGGTGGGAAGGACAAAGACTTCAGAGGAAGGCAGAGAAAAGTAAGGAAAACAAGGGCTCCTTAGATGGAAGGCTGGTTATTTTTGTTTTATTTGACAGAGAGAAACACAGCGAGAGAGGGATCACAAGCAGGGGGAGTGGGAGAGGGAGAAGCAGGCTCCTGGCTGAGCAGGGAGCCAGAGGCGGAACTCGATCCCAGGACTCTGGGATCATGACCTGAGCCGAAGGCAGACACTTAACGACGGAGCCACCCAGGTGCTCTTGGTTACTTTTGTTTTAATAAGCCACTTGTGTGTTGTGATTTTATAAAACTCAAGTTAGAATAAATGGTTTTGAATGAAAGCTTTCTAAGGATATTTACTGGGTATAGAAGGCATAATCTGACATCTAGAACACGTTAAGACCAAAAGAGAGGCAGCAGGAAAATGTTCCTGTAGACACGAGTCTTCACTGTCGCACGGAGACCGTATCTGCCTTTGCTCACGGTTGTTGATGGAAGTCAGTCCACATCGGTGCCGTGTAGGGCATGAGGCAGGTCAGCGAAAGCAATTCACTGTTCTCTAATGTCGCCAAGGTCACAGGGAAGTGGACACTTTCACCTGCCATTAGCAGGTTAAATTGTATAATATTTCTGAATCACAGTGTGGTAAAATTTATGAAAATATAAAATTATTTTCAAGATACCTTTGAGCCAGAATTCTACTCCTAGAAATTTATTCCATGGATAAATATAACAAGGCAAATATAGAAAGTTATACATAGGATTTTCAACAAAGCATAGTTTCCAATAACAGTGAAAATGGGAAAACAACATATGTCCATAGATGGAGGAATGATTAAATAAATTATCACATTATACACTTGAAAACCAGGAAGCCATTAAAAATGATGATGTGTGTTCATGCTCATAGATGTAGGAAAAGACCTATAATATCACTTAGTGATAAACGCTAATTTCAGAATGAGTTATTTAATATAATGCAACTCATTATTAGTACAGACTTGTGGACTGATGCAGAGAGAGATCTGGAAGGTGGCTTTTCATCAAAATGTCAACAATAATGAGCAGGGGAAGGGTGATTTTAATTTATTTTCCTCTGTATTATTTTACAGTATTTTAAAATAACTCTTAAAGTTTTATCTTATATATTTACATCTTGAGTGGACTTGTGGTGGGAGGCAGGGATCCAGGTTTATGCTCATTCCTCATTGTGGCTGGTTATCCTAATACTACTTGTTGAATGATACACCATTTCCCCACTGATTTGAAAAGTCATCTAGTGATTATTGCTGGAGAACAGGAGGGTTATTAGGCTTTTTTAAAAAAAAATTATAATTGACATACAATATTATAGTAGTTTCAGATGTACAAGATAGTGATTTGATATTTCAGATGTATAAGATAAGTGATTTGGTATTTTTATACATCATGAAATGATCACCATGACAGGTCTAGTTACCATCTGTCACCACACAAAGTTATTACAATATCATTGACTATGTTTCCTATGCTGTACATTCCGTCCCCATGACTTATTTATAATGGGAAGTTTGTACCTACTAATCCCCCTCACCTTCTCCCACCCCCTCAACCCGCTTACCCTCTGGTGACCACTAGCTTGTTCTCCGTATCTAAGAGTCTGTTTTGGGGCGCCTGGGTGGCTCAGTTGGTGAAGTGTCTGCCTTCAGCTCAGGTCATGATCCCGAGGTCTTGGGATGGAGCCCCGCGTTGGGCTCCCTGCTCAGCGGGGAGTCTGCTTCTCCCTCTGCCCCTTCCCCTGCTTGTGCTCTCTCTCTCTCAAATAAATAAAATCTTTAAAAATAAATAAAAATAAATAAGGGTCTGTTTCTATTTTGTTTTGTTCATTTGTTTTGTGTTTTAGATTCCATGTATAAGGGACGCCTGGGTGCCTCAGTGGGTTAAGTGTCTGCCTTCGGCTCAGGGTCCTGGGATCGAGCCCCACATCGGACTCCCTGCTCAGTGGGGAGCCTGCTTCTCCCTCTCCCGCTCCCCCAGCGTGTGCTCTCTCTCGCTCTCTCTGTCAAACAAATAAATAAAATCTTAAAAAAGATTCCACGTATGTGAAATCATATGTCATTTGTCTTTCTCTGACTTATTCCTTTTAGCAGAGTACCCTCTAGGTCTGTCACAAATGGCAAGATCTCAATCTTTTTTACAGCTAATGTTCCACTGGACATATATACCACATTTTTATCCGTTTATCTATTAAGGGACACTTAGGTTGTTTCCAAATCTTGGCTGTTGTAAATTATGATGCAGTGAACATAAGGGCACATATATCTTTTCAAGTCAGTGTTATTGTTTTCTTCAGAAATATACCCAGACGTGGAATTCCTGGATTGCATGGTAGTTCTATTTTTAATTTTTTGAGGGACCTCCATACTGTTTTGCACAGTTGGCTGCACCAATTTACATTCCCACCAACAGTGCACGAGTAGAATATCTCTATAATCAGAAAAATGATAGGGGTCTTTTCATTTGGAGATTAAAGTTTTTGAAGAAACTCCAACCCGATTTAATGGAGATTGCAAATACTCACTATTTTTAGTTGTATATACATGTAATTCATTTATATATTCAGTCATCAAAGTAGTTTGTTCATTCATTTGAAACTGCTTAATAAGCACCTACTGTGCATCAGCCACAGGGATACTAATACGTAAGAAGCATCACACAATAGTTAAGAAGTCAGGCTTCTGGGGCACCTTGCTGGCTCAGCTGGAGAAGCATGCAGCTCTTGACCTCGGGATCGTGAGTTTGAGCCCCACGTTGGGTGTAGAGATTACTTAAATAAATAAACTTTAAAAAAGAAGAAGCCAGGCTTCTGAGCCCAGCAGACCTGGGTTTGGACCCCTGTTCTATCACTCTCCAACTGTACAACCTCCAGCAAGTTATTAAACTGCCCTAAGCCTCAGTTTCCCCATCTATCAGAGAGAACACAAATACCCACCACCTGAGGTGCCTAGTGCTGTGAAGCAAATTGTCCCAAGATTTCGCGACCTCAAACAACATTAATGATTCATTAGCTCTCGTCATTTCTTTGGACTTTGGAGGCACCTCTGTTGGGCGCATCTAGCACAGGGCCTCTGGTGAAACTGCAGTCAGACGAAAAGCCAGAGGATTCATTTCCAAGCTGGCTACATCAATAAGCTGGCAAGTGGATGCCGACTGCTGGTGGAATGTCTTCTTTCAATGGCCCTCTCCAAATTGCTGCTTGGGTGTCATCATGGCTTGGTGTCTGGCCTCCCTCAGAAGGAGCAATTGGAGGGACCAAGGTGGAAGTCCATAATGCCTCTTCTGAGCTCACCCTGGAGATCACACCCCACACTCCATCCACGCCCCACGGTGATTCAGCATGAAAGGGGATGACACAGGATGTGGAGAGCAGGAGGTGAGGGTCATAGGGCCATCTTGAGGGCTGATTACCACATGCACCAGCTGAGAAGATGTTTACAAACAGCTCAGGCTGTACCTGCACTGCATCCATGATAAGCCATGGTGAAGAGCAAATATAACTGCTCTTCATAAATAGGTCTCAGGACACTGAGCCCGGAGACGTTAAGTGGTTCGACTCGTCATACAGCCAACTGGTTTTGAGCCAGCAGGAGCAGGTTCTCTAACTTGCCTCTTCAGGTCCTTCCTTCCATAGAGAAAATCCCAGTACAGACACAGAGGTGAGGGACCACTGGCTAGAACGAAGTAGTCACCAGAGTTGAAGATGAACAGATGTCTCAGAAGAAAGAATGGGGAAGCTGTTAGAGGATTCTGAATGTCAGGCTGAGGAAGTCATTTTCCTTTCACGGAAAAGGCCATGGGGAGCCACCGAGGAGTTTGGAACAAGAGTAACTTAATCCAAACCCGTGGGCCAAGTTTATTCTCACAGCTGTGTGTGCAGCAGATTGTGGAGGTCTCGGAAGGAAGCAGGCCGTTGGAGCAATCCAGGCATCGGGGATGAGGGCAGCAATAGTGGGAAAGGAGAAGCGGCTTGGCAGACACGGTGGCTAGGAATCGTGCCCCCCAAGGATCCGGGCTCATTAAGGACTGAGGAGGCCAGGGCTCGAGGCTTAGGTGATAGTGGCTCAGCGAGCTAGCCTCCGTGCGGTGCCAGGGAGAGCTGCCTCTCCAGCCCAGCCTCCGGCCCCGAGCCTCACTTCAATCTACAGCGTGGGAGGCCCAGGGACATTCAATACAACTTGGAAGCAGGACTTTAAAACAAATAGTCTGCCTTTCCTCTGGTTCCCAGCTCTGCAGCGTGGAAAACTGAAGCAATGAAGGACCAGACAGAATGGAATGTATGCGGTTCTGAGCTCAGCCCAAAGGCCCTCCACAGAAAGGTTCACTTCCTCGGGTCCGAAGGTGCAGGGAGGGAGGGTGTCTCAGGCCAGGCTGTCAGTCCCGGCCTCCCCTCCCAGATCAAATCCATCCGGACCACTCCCTCACACTGCTCCAGGCAGGGCTTACCTACTCTCTGAGCCCCTCGCCCAGTTTCCCAGCGTGACCGCTCTCCTGACAGTTAGGATGCCCTGATAACATGGGGACAGAGACCGGAGCCCCGGGCATCGTATGGCCCCAGGATTTGAACACTAGGATTTTGCTTTCCAAGTACAAGTTGGACAAATAATTTTCTCTTCTAATTTCATCAGTTTTACATCCAGACACGAAGGTTTCCAGCTGCAAGGCCAAGGCCATCCATGGGCTGCCATTCATCTCACAGGGAGAGTAGATTTATCGCCCATTTTCCAGGACAGCAAAATGCCTTGTTCTAACAAAACAGTGTGGCAATTTTCTAAAAGAGAGAAGGAAAGTGACTTGAGAAATGAACATTTTGTTTTTCCAGTTGGCACAACGATTCTATATGGGCTAGAAGTGGTTCTATATACACATAGGTTTTATTGGGCCGATAGAACTTAAAAACTGGATTGGAATGGCTTTAGACAGGGCGCTCCAGCTTAACACCCACTCCCTACTTCCTTATACTCTTAATCGCTTTTAATTCATTTATTTGCCTACCTAGCCCCTGATGCCACATGAGTTTGCAGACCTGAGATATGACACAACACTGCATAAAGCAATCTCTTCCCTCCTTGGGAAGCAGATGTTTGCAGTCTTCTTTCTACAGCTTCTACCTACCCATCCTATTTCTGGGGCCCTACAGGTTCTACAGTAGATTAGCCTCTTTCTAAAGCATGGTCTTTCACCTATTTAAAGACTACCATCAGAGTCTCTCTGAGGCCCGTTTTTCCATATTAAGCATACTGTCTTCCTTCAACTGTTTCACTGGACATTGGATTCCCTCACCATTATCAGAACGTGCTCTGTCATCCTCTTAAAGAGGGGTACCTGTGTAAGGGGAATATACTGCAAGCATGGTCTAATCCCTTGCAGTTTGAAGTGTCGTCCAAAAGCCAACAGCATTAAATATCACTTTGGAGCTTGTTATAAATGCAGAACCTCAAACCCCACCCGGGATCTACTGAATCAAGATTCTCCAGGTGATCTGCATGCACAAATCACCTCAGAGGACGGACTCTCTTTGCATTAATGTAGCCTAGAATTATATTCGCTTTTGAAGGTAATTATGTTACACGGGTGACTCTGATTCCTGTTACCTGAAATCTATATTTGACCACACTCACTGCTAAGCCACATCTTCCTGTATCATATTACAGTTTTATTGAAGCATTTAACAGTCTGATTACATTTTGATGAGTTATACATGTGCCTAGACTAAAATCTTAAGGACAAAACACAGATCATGTTTACCCGTCTTAGGTGCCAAGCCAAGGCCCCAATACATAATAGTTGTTTGTGTAAGAATTAAGAAAAAACAAACAGCAGCTGAAATGATAAAGGAAATTGAGTCACGCTGTTAAAACAATTTGTGACACGGCTTGCTTGCTCCGGGGCTCGGATTCAGGGACTGGGCTTCTCTCACTTCTCACCTCTGCCCCCTTGGCATCAGCTCTGGGACCTGGGCAGCCCCTCCCTTGGCGTCCTCAAGATGGCGGCCAATGTTGCTGAGAGCCATAGCCTTTCTCATTCAAGGCCAGTGGGCAAAGAGTAATCTGGAAACTTCAGAGGGTAGAAGCATTTTTCTTTTTTCTTTTTCAGCAAATGTCCCCTCTAGTTTCATTAGCTTTCATGGAGTTACCCCCTCATCTCTGAGCCAATCCCTGAAGCCAGGAGAAATTAATATCCTCAGGGGTTCAAGCCAATGAGGATCCACGCTTAGAGCTCTGAGTGGCCGGAAATGGAGGGGGCGGGGCTCCACCAGGCAATGAGGAAAAGCTGCTGGGAGAAGTGGTGGCATGGATGCCAGGAAGACAGCGAACAGACATCTACCATGGTGCTCAGTAGGTCTGCATTTCCTTTGCCTTTGAGTCTTGCAACTGTCCTCCAGGAGGGCCAACACTACAGCAATCACTAGGCTGGGCTATAGCCAGAAAACTTTTCTATTTTTAAATGACACACAAATTATTATGCTCCATCACATTGTTTCAGTGATCGACTTTAAAAGGCCCTGGCTTACCTCCTCCTGGAATAATAAAGCAGTCACAGGAGTTCTTTGGGCCACTCCAAAAACCACTCCAGAGCGGTTTGCCACACATAATAGAGGGTGCACTTGAAAGGCAGCATCCAATGACCAGTTCTGGCTGAAAACTTTTGTGTTTTTTCAAAGTTCAATAAGCACCAGAAGTGACCACAATGTGTTTGAAACTTTATAGCATGTGTCTTCAGGAGAAAAAGTGCCTAAAACTAGATGGAAAGACTTGTAATTTTTTAAATTAAAAACTGTAGACAGGAGAGGTAACAGTCAAAGTAAAATAAGCATGAATCCTACGTTTTTGTTTCAAAAATAAAACCCGAGGTATGGGGAAAATTGTAATATGGAATTCAGCAATCTGCTTTGGCCATATGCTCTATTGCATGTTCACTGTGCTGGCTCTCCTGGGCCAAAAGGCTCTCAATGATGGGTCAAGCTTAGCTGGGAAAGACGTAAAACCGATGGGACCAAAGGCACAGGGTGGGAAGGGGGGCACATTTTCTGTCCTCACCTTGGTGATCAGAGGGGAAACTTACCACCACCGGCCTCTCTGGACTACACTACTGCTCTAAGTGGTCGTGTCAGAAGATGGAAGGACCAACACTGACCATCACTACTGCCAGAAACACTCAGGCCGGGTCAACTCCCAGGAAGGAGGGCAGGTGTGTGATCTTCTCAAACAGAAGGCAGCCGAAATCGGGACCTGGCCTTGTCCATCCTATCTCAGAAACGGTCTGTGTGGATCCTGGCTCTACTGCCTACGCAAGGAGGGAACTGGTGCACTCACTCACTCACTCAGCTTCGGTGCCCTAATGTGTAAAATGAGGGCAATGATACACCCGTCACAGACTGATGTGAGAAAAAAAAAAACAGCTCATGTGACAAGTGCCTGAAAATGTCCAGGAAGCGCAACCCTACACAAAAGGCCATTCTCCCTCCTGCCCCCTGCTCAGTCCCATTCAGTGCTCCAACTGCATCAACACACAGCTAAAGTGCTCTGGTGTGATCACAGACCTCTCGTAATTTCTCTCTGCCTCCTCCAGAATGCCTTGTAGCACTTAGCTTGTACAATCATATATATGTGGTAAGTCATACCTGCAGTAATTGGATTAAGAAAAAGATCTGAAAATCTTCCAGTTTTCACATAGATGTAAAAACAACACAAAATGACCACAAGAGCATGGCCTTGTCTCTTACTGAACATACAATCTAGGGCAAGTTTAGTTTAATAGTAGACTTAATCAGATCTTTTAAACTAGCAACAACAGGGGTACCTGGGTGGCTCAGTCGGTTAAGCCTCTGGCCTTCAGCTCAGGTCATGATCTTGGGGGTCCTGGGATCTCAAGCCCATGGCAGGCTCCCTGCTCAGCAGGGAGTCTGCTTCTCCCTCTGCCCCTCCCCCTACTTGTGCTCTCTCTCTGTGTCAAATAAATAAAGTATTTTAAAAAAATAATAAAATAAATAAATAAATAAAATAGCAACAACAAATATTTCTCCTATTAGACTGGAAGGTCCTTGAGAGTCGAGCTCTCTTTTATTCAAATTTATATTCTCCTGAGGAACATAGGGAGAATATGCTTTCCCTAGAAGACTGGCCAGCATGTTAGGAGATACCAAAAGGAAGGATAAAATGAAATATTTTGAAGGGCTTATCACCTTGAAAGGCATAAAAGGCTGCTTAATTGCTATAAAATAAAAAACAAAGAAATCACAGTTAAGAAAGATTAGACTTGCTACCTGATGACTACAGAAGTCACAATCTTTAAAATTTCTTCAACCTCAGATCACTCTCGAGAAGTGGTGACCCCTGGCCTTGAGACAGAAGATTTCTTATCGGGTCTAGCTTTGATTCCATGTCCTCTGTCAAGTTCCTTTTTCTCTCCAAACTTCAGTTTCCCTAGCCACACAGGATATTAAATAACAAGTTTTCTAAAATCCCTAACAGCTGTAAAATTAGGTGTCCAAAATTTCTGCACATACTTGTGGCGAGTCTTCTCTGAGAAAGGCACCCTGCTGGGTGCTCCAGAGAGGCGTGAAACAGAATAGACCCGGACCGTTCTCAGTAGACTCGTGGCTTGTTAAGTAATAAAACACGAGGACACAAATAACTGTGATTTGAGGCAAGAAGGGGTAATGACCATCCAAGAGGTACTCACAGGGAACTTGCACCATATAGACGAGGATTGGCTTTGTGGAGGGATGGCATTCATTCCTGCTTTGATGTGGCAAATATGAAGCACCCACTAGCCCAGGCACAACTATGACCAAGATACACACAGCCCTGCCCTCAGAGTGCCTAAAGGCTGGCTGGCAGAAGACAGAATTCAGAGGGGGAGGAATTCTAGGCAGAGGGACCCATGCGTTAAGACAGAAAGGCAGAGCATCATAAAGCACATAGGAGTGAGTCCAGGGCTCTATCTGTGCAGAGGTAGGCAGTGCACAGGAGATCAGGATGAGAAAAGGTAGAGAGGTACGGTGTACCTCATGTGGAGTCCCTGACATGCCAGGCTACAGACTTAAATCAGTCCAACAAAATACCCTACAACTCTAAGAGACTGAAAGCTTACTAAACATCATGTGATCCCTCACTTTGTATCCAAATACACTTTGTTTACTGTAACTAAAAGGAAGACACCTGAAAGAAAATTCCCCCAAAAAAGTAACTGAAATAAGTTTATTTGCAGGAGAAGAACAGCTGAACATCAGGTACAGTGTGATCCACAATGATCCAACAACAGCCGTAACTTGTTCTGGGAGTGCTCCTATGCAGTTTGGAGGAAACATCAGCTGAACACTTATCAAACTTCAAAAAGCCATCTAACCTGAGTATTACACAATACATAATGACCATGACACAGTAATAAAAATACAATAGCAAATACTATTTTGTGAGCTACAGCAACAATATAAACAATTTAGGCCCTTCTTAAAAAAAATGAAAAAAATAGATACAGCTTTATTTCAAGCATTTTCAGTTGAATACAACTTCATATATTTTCACTCACAATAGACAGCAAAAGAATGCCTTCTGAAGTATCTGTAGAGAAAATATATTACTTGTTTAAATGTTTGCACTCAGAAGTGCACTTTGCCAGGTAGGAGTTCAGATAAGAGAATGAAACTGTGCTGGGCCAAAATCCTGGCTGCTGATCAAGACCTGTATAGTTTTCATATCTGTCTAAAAAAGTTTACATCGGAGAAAAAAGGAGAACGTAAAGAGAACCAACATTATTCTTTTTCAG